ATGGTAAAGACTAATAGATACATTTTTTTCTTAATTTTCTGAGCTGAAAATACAAGTTAAGAAGTTATCAATGTAGAGATATTAGAAGAAGCTACTAATAGTAATGAGGTGGTTTAGCAGGACTAATCTGTGCCTCACCAAATGTAGCCTCTGGATTATTTGTATCCAGATTACTATGTGGGAGAGGGGATGCTTTTCAAAGATTGTATTTCTAGATCTCATTGAACCATACTTACTGATGGTTGAGACTTACAATTTTGGTTAACAGTGTCGTCCGGTGATTCTCATGCATGCGGAAATATGAGAACCACTAATACAGAGTACCAAAAACACCATATACAAAATTCTGGAGAACATCAACATTTAGAACACAGGAAAAGAAAATAAGGAGTAGTCAAAGATACAGATGTGGGAAGCAATATGAGAGACAGCACTGTCATAGAATTCAAGGGAGAAAGAGTTTTAAGAAAATTCAGAATTCCTTCTCTCTCTTATTCTCTAATTCTCTTTATTAAAAACAGAGAAACATTTCAGACCTACACAAAAGAACATAATCATATTTTTTACATCTACCATTAATCTAAAACAAAACAACAGAAATCACCCAGCAGAGTTGAAGTCCTTTCTTTATCCCACACAATTGCATCGTCTTCTTTTGACACTCTCCTAACCTATTTAAACAGTATCTTCAACTCAGTGTTTATTATTTCTCTGAATTTCTTTATTCTTTAATGCATATATATCTATACATCCTCTTTAAAATACACAGTTTAAAAGTAAATTTTATATCTACTTCAAAATTCATTTTAGTTCAATATTACTTTTGTGAAATTTACCCATGTTGATGTATGTGGAATAGGTTCCTTTTTCATGCTATATTTTATATTCCATTTTATGAAGAGTCTGCAATTTGATTATCACCTCTTAAACGATTGAGGTATAGATCATTTTCCATTTTCTATGCCATGAATATATTTGTTTCCAAGTATAAGAATTTACCTGTTCTCATTGTAACATGGCTTTTATTGCCAAATTACTCTCTAAACTTATACCAACTTGCGTTTTCATCAAGGATATAACGCAACCTCCGTTTTTCATGGTTTTCTTATATTTCTTTGTGTCTTGTGTACAGAGGCAGCAGTTGCCCTTATATTACAGCCTATCTTTTCAAGTCATTTGCATAGCAAACGTCTTTTGAATGTAGTGCCTTCCTCTAGAACAGAGGTGAGATTTGTTTGATGTCCTGTATAATAAGGATGTCTCCTTTTTGGGCAATGGTTGGACACATTTGGTTACTATCAGTTATGAAGACTAAGGTTTCTTAAACTCAGAGTCCTTCAGATGTGATGCACAATCAAGGAATGTGCAGCGTCCTCCTTGGCACATCTGCAGTACTTCTGTGGAACTTCAGAGGTAAGGAGGATCAATGCTAAAATAAAGCTTGGGATATA